TAGAGAAATGGATAGACTATCTGCTTCCACAGCACTCATAGTCTAGCAGCATCCATATATTCTAGACCACTATAACCTCACTAACTGTAGCAAGTAAAAGAACAGGGCATTATGAAAGAGCAGAGCATGAGGACCCTAATTAAAATTCAAATTGGGGTGGCTTCTACGAGACTCAAATTAGGTCTAGAATAGGGCAGGAAGAGCATTCCAGACAGAGAACAGCAGCAAGGGAAAAGTTCTGAGTTGGAATAAAGCTGGATCCTTTGAAGAACGGGAGAAGGGTGACATGTCTTAAGAACAGAATTCAAGCTGGTATGAAGACACATGCCTAAATCCTAGCACTCTGGGAGGCTGAGGCAGGAGGACTGCAAGGTCAAGCCCAGCCTGGGGAAACTCAGAAACTTAGTGACTTATTGAGACCATCCTGTCTTCAAAAAAAAGGAAAATCTTAATGGGAAGAGATTTTAGAACTTTATCCCCATTGTGACAGAAAACCACTAAAAAGCTTAAGCAAGAAAGTGATAACATCCATGTTTTGTTTTGTTTCAGTGTTCAAATCACAATTTTGGACACACTTCTATTCTGGATGCTGCTCAATTTCACACTTAGTTCAGAGAAGACATACCCATAAAACACCCCAAAACATTATTTTAGCAGACTAACATGTGACTGTGCTCTGTTGGATAGTACCATTCAGATGTACAAAGTTCAAAGGCAGATAGCATCCATGTTTTGAATCTATCACTCTGCCTGCTGCATGGGTAACAGCCCAGAGGGAGGGCAAAGAGGTGAAGAGTTCAGTTAGAAAGGCCAGGCAGGAGTGGGTGTTAGATGGTGCCATGTCCCAGGATGGGAGCAGTGTGATTATGGAAAGTGGTGGCTGGATTACAGATGCCTCCTGCAGACGGGGTTTGTAGGGTCTGAAGATGGAGTGAACATGTCGGGAAGAATCGGGGTGTCACACGATGTTTCAGTTTGAGTAGTTTAGGGAGTGGAGGTGTTACTAAGACAGGAAAGGATGGCAAAGGTGCAGATTCTAAGTGGGAGCTACAGTGGACATCGAGAGTTCAGGTGTGGGTACCTTCGGCTTGAGGTGCTCTTCTAACAGCCAAACGGACACTGTGCACAGACTCACACACCTGGACTAGCGTTGGCTGCCTATCACCTGCCACAGGCCCTCTCTTACCACTGGGATGTATGAAATTGCCCAGAGCGGGCACAAAATGAGAAGAAAAATATTCTGATGAACTGCATTTTGTGGTAAGATAGAAATGGAAGAATAGTTGGGAAAATAGCATAGAAGCTAAAAGATGGGGGTGATTCAAGGCAAGAGGGAGCTGCAAGCCACATGGAATATTACTGGAAAGGTTAGTGTCTTTTAAAAGTGTCGGCTGGATTTGGCAATAAGGAAATCACAAACTTGAGCAAGAGCAGTTTCCAAATGGATAGAAACCAGCTTGGACCAAAGCAAACAGGCAATGGAGGTGGGTGGGCAGTCAAATTCTCAGTAACCCTGGCTCTGGAGGAGTGGCAGAGACAGGAATGAGCTGACTCCGGAAGCCGAGGAGTGAGCTGAGACTTGAAGTTTCTCCCAATTGGCAGGTGCAATGGCTTGCATATTGCTTTCATCCCTGGCACAAGAGCCCCATTCCCTGCTTAAACCTCACGAAGGAAACCTCTTGGGCTTTGTGCTCCAGCATTCAAAACTTTTCATCGTAAGTCTTCTGCCTCTGTTGGAAAGCTCCTGCACACCCAGAAGGAAGGAACAAGGCACAGAAGAGCCTGCAGACAAACTCTGTCTGGTCAATATCTGACTTTAACTTTCTCTTTTCTAAATTGTTGCCCTCGGCCCTCAACCTACCTTTCAGACCTCATCTGTTGTTCTCCTTGAAAACTCCACTGCAGCCAAGTTATGGCAACTTAAAACACCGTCTATCTTCCCCTCTCCAACCACCTGCTGTCTTTCTGCTTTGGACTTAGTCCCCCGTCCTTGCCTTGCTGGATGGCAAGACTAGCTTGAGTCTTTTCACCTTGAGAAAAGCCTGTCTGGTGCCCCTCCTCTCTCAGGCATTTCCCATAAACTGCCAGGGACCACTGGTTTTTCCTGCATGTGAGGGAACAGTGAGACTGTCTACATATTCCATTGTTGTCTTTGTGGCCTATACCTCAGAGGCACTTGGTAAATACTGGTATGTTGGTGAGATTATTGAGAAAAAGCCAGCAGTCGTTTCTCCCCAAAGGGTAAACATGTGTAATAGTTGGTTCAAGGCTGCATTAGAGATATTCCCCAAAGACACACAAATAGGTGCTGCAAGTGTTCACCAGCCTGGCCTCTACAGTCATCTGAGGAAGTGCCATGTTGCTTGAGTTCAAGTTCAAATTGAGCTGTCAAGGCCATCAACTATTTCAAATGTTCTTCTGGAAGCCTAACTCTTCTTGGAAATATTTAACACTTATACCATAAAAGTTTATGTTTTCTTTTAACACTGTAAATAGAGGGTCCTTGTCATTTTAAGCTGTGGATTTCCTAAGGCACAGTCCTTTTGAAAATTCTGGAAAAGCACCTTTCTGACCCAAACTCCTTCATCAACTCATGCTTCATGTGAGAGCAAAGGAGTGAAGATTCAGCCTGCAGTGTTCTTACTACTCAAGGACATAATAGGACATGATAACCAATGGACTGCAGGAACTTTCATGCAATATGAGCTCACGTTAAAAAGTAGATCCTGGCAAAGTTTTCAGGGCATAAACATTTTGAGGAAATTGGTTCAATAAAATCTGGGCTCCAAAGTGGCCTTCAACACACAGCAATTATTTCAACCGTGAAGAGACAGGAAGATTCTGGATACAGATCTATACTAATACATTTTATGATTTCTTGGGGACTATTTTTGGTCCCCTTGCACCAACGACACAAAAACTAGGAAGCTTGAAATATCAAAAGTAGCACTTAGGAAACAAAACAACAACAAAATAAACAATAAAAAAGAACCTCTCTCCAAATCCCAACATAAGTGGGGGGTCGGGGAATATGCTGCTCACAAACATTGTTTCCAATGTGGACAGAACTTCCTCTAGACTCAAGGAAGTTCCACCACCACATCCGTTTACATCTCTGAAAGCAGAATAGACATCCCATGTCTTATGGAAAGAACTACTTATTTATATATTTGTGTTTCTGATTTACTGACTTACAAGAGATTTGAAACCACAGACAGCCCCTGTGCGGTCTTGAGAAAAGTGAGGCTGCTTCTGCTCAGGCCCACTTGGCCTCCTCTCCCAGGGGCTTCAGGCTATCAGACCAAGAGGCGATTGTCCCCCAGCTTAGTTACCCACTGCCACCTTGGGGAGGTCCTTGCCCTGGTCTGTGGCTTTCTCTGACTTGGCTGGAAAGAACAAGTTTTGAAAAGTAAAAACAAAAACAGGTTCAAGACACATGGGTTGAGTTATAATCATTCTCTTGAGGGTATGTCTTATTAAATGGCATGATTCACTCAAAATAATATGTCCCATTTCTCACATCTAACTGTCTTCCAGAAAGACAAGCACACAGTTTGCAGAGATACTGCGAACGGGGGATTCATGTTTCTTCACTAGGAATGAGATTTCTACAGCACTGTTTTTATGCTCAAAGAGAAAAGTGCAAATTCTAGGAGGAAAAAGGAAACAAAATGAGCTGTCAAAATTCCTTTTAGCGCCTATGACTAGTGTTAACTTACATGCTCCCAGAGTGCAATAAAAAGCCTGGGAATTGCTGCTGAAAAGATGGTTTGAACTTTTAAAATGAGAACTCCCCCACCCCATGTCTGTATTAGATAAACCTTGGGTGCTCTAGAGTTTTAGATTAGGTGATGAAATAAGGCTGACTCTCTGGAAAAGGGTTTCCCTACAGGCTACAGGCTAACTAGGGTGTTCTAGACCTACAGTGTAACAGCAGGTAGAATGCAGGCCCCAGACCTTTTAACCATTGTAGTTACTAACTACTCAGTCTAGTTCTGAAAGGTGGCAGGCGGCGAGTTATGAAAATTTAGTTTAAAATAAAAAGTCTTAGACACGACCGCCCATAGCCTGGGCTTCCAGGGCAGACTGTCGGCCCCTGGTGGCTGAGCAGCCACGGCGATCCTGGGTCTCCACCGCAGCAGCCAAACCTCACGCGCACCGAGCGGCGCTGCTGAAAGAAGTTGGAGAGCTCCCAGCTTGACAGGAATCTCTGGTGGGCTGGGCGCGAGGAATTCCTTCCAGTGCCTCAATTAGGAAGTTTTGAAAAGTAAGGACCCTAGACAGATAGAAGGAACTCATCCTTCTGTGGAGAGTAAGAACTCCCCGCCCCGCGCCGGAGGGCTGCGCACACAAGGCCATCGGCCCTGCTTGGGTGGGACGCGCGCCTGGTGTTTTCCGGCTCCCCACCGCCCCAGTGCGCGTCCTCAGGGCATGGAGCCAGGCTGGTGGCCCGGTCAGGTTAGCGGGTCCAGACGGAGATGCCTGCAGGCTCCCCAGCTCGGGGGACAAGGGCAGAACCATCAACTCCTCCGACGCCTTGGACCTGCTCTTCTTCCAAGCGGGCCAGGGCTTCTCCTAAGGGCGCACGACACAGCCCATGTGCCCGGGCACTACACCACACTCCTCTTCCTACGCTTTCCCCCAAACTCTTCTCGGGGAGCCCTGCAAACACGTGGAGCCCCGAAAACTCCCAGGGCACTCGCCAGCCAGTCACCCCCACCTCTGCCTCTGCAATCCTCCTCGTCGTGTTCTTCCCGCCCCGCAAAGCTCTCCTCACGTTTCTGGGGAGTCAGAAGCAAACCACGAGAAAAATGCCTCCGTGAGGAGCCTCCCTACACCCGCCCTGTCCCTGAAACAAAAGCGCAGGGAGGAGGGAGGTGGGTGGGGAGGCGGGAGAAAGGTTTAGAAAGAGGAGAGGATGGGGAGCGGCGCGGGGGAGCCAGCTGGGGAGGGGTCGGGTGGAGAGCGGAGACGGGCCGGGACCCGCTCCGGTCGCTTACATGCCCAGGTCGCTGTAGGTGTTGAAGAACTCCATCTGGTTGCACGCCTGGATCCAGCCCACGACCCAGGTCTCGTGGCGGGGGATGGGGGGCATGACCACGCGGGCCGAGGCTTTGAAGTAGGGGGTCTTGTAGCGCAGGACGATGGGCGAGGTCTCCTCGATGCGCGTGGGGCACTGGTCGATGGTGGCGCACACATCGTACACCACGATGTTCTCGCGCCGGATCCGCGCCTTGCAGGTGATGCTTTGGATACAGCCCATCCTGCCGCCCGGCGCCGGCGCGGCGCGGCGTGGGGCAGCGCGGGGACCCGCGCGGGCAGCCGGGGGCGCCCCTCACGCCGGCATGGCGACGCGCGCCGCTCGCTCCCGGGACTCAGCTCGCGCCTCGGAGCCGCGAGCCGCCGCCGCCGCCGGGCATCCTCGGGGGAAGCCCCCTCCTCCCGCAGCCCACGCCGCGTGGGGTCCCAGCCGCCCCGACGCCCGCCCCCGCCCGCCCCCGCGCTCCGGCAGGGCGCGCCCAGCGTGCGCTCCTAGCAGGCGGCGGGCGCCCTCGCCGGCTCCAGCGCCGGGGCGGAGGGCCGGGAGGGGAGCAGCGCTGCGAGTACGGGTGCCCACCCCGGGCCGGAGCCCCCCGCCCCTCGCCGGAGAGGAGGAGGAGGCGGCGGCGGCATGGAGCCGGGGGAGGGCGGCGGCGGCAGCGCCCGCTCTGTCTGCCTCCGCCGCCGCCCGCCGCCGCTGCATGAACCTCTGCACCGCGGCTGCCCCCCGCGAGCAGCGCACCCAGCGGCAGGCGAGCGGGCGGCGGCGGAGAACGAGCTCCCGCCGGCCCCGCCCCGCAGCCGGACCTCGCGGACGCTCCTCAGCCGGGCCGCCCGGGCCTGGGGGGCGCTGGAGGGCGCTATGGGGCGGAGGCCCGGGGCGGAGGGCCCCACGGGCTGGGGCTGACCGGGACGCGCGGCGCGGAAGACACGGGCAGAACGCCATGAGTTTTGTCCCTTTCCGGCTGCCGTCCGGGTGGAGGGGGCGGTGTGTAGGGGTGGGGGTATTTAAAGGGCCGCTAGCTGCGGGGTGGGCCCGACGCGTGGGTCGAGGCGGGGCTCTAGGAGGTGGCACTCAGGGCTGGAGGTGTGAGTGGGGTCCGGGCCGGGCCCCCGCGCATTGTGGTGGGTGGGGCCGAGAGGGTGCTGGGCTGTGTAGAATGGATGGGACCCCGAAGCCTAGAAGGGGATGTCGAGGGCGCCCCGTTATGCAGGATGCAGCTTGTTAGACTAGAGAGGGACTTAAGCTCCCCTGGCGTCCTGTTGTGGGGAAGGCTGGAGTGCCGGCAACAGCAGTAGCAGGATGCGATGGATTTACCCCTTCCCTAACTGGCTTGGCTCTGAAAGCTTTCATTTCTAACACTGGATAGTGAGAGTATCTGAACAATCCCTTAGTCCCTTAACTCGACAGCCTCCGAAATGCCAGTTTTGAGGCACGAACTCACCTTTTATTCATGGCCTGCCCATGTCTAAGTCTTTTGCTCTTTAGAAACACACCCTCAAAAAAACATGTACGAATGAAAATTTATTTTTGAAAAAACAATTAGAAACCACTGCATTTTGAATGTCTCTGCATTCTGAGACAAGACGTGCCTTCCTCGATCATCTAGCTGGGTTTGAGTGCTTACCAGCTTTCATGAGGTTACCCAGAGCCTGCTAGGTACAAAGAAGAACTTGAGGATGTTTCTAGGAACCAGGTAGGATTAATAGTAATAAAAATTCAGAATACCATTTGTGATAATCCATTTACCTCTCAGCCTGGACTCTTAGGGATGTGTTTTTCTCTTCGTTTTTCCATAATGCTGCATAGGGACACATAGGGATATGATGGCACGTAGGGACTGCTCAACAGTTGTCTGTGAATGAATGAACAAACAAACGATCAAAGAAAGAGCAACTTGGCTGCAGTTGCCTCCTAAAGCTGCCACCAAAATACTGGATATTCATTGTGTACAATATGACCACTGTCATGTGTCTGTTATTGCTGTCTAATGTTCCAAAACAAGATGTACATTTAACAGATGCTCTTACTGGGCATCTTCTTTCATTTGTATTATTAAGGCCAGTAGCTTCTTTGTGTTTCTTCCATGATCACTGAACATTTTCTGGACGTGGTGCCTCAGTGTGAAATACTCCCAGTGTGCAGGAGGCTGATAGACTTAGTCTTTAGCTAGGACAGATGTGATGAGTAATTTAAAAAATTGGTTGAGATCTAAAAGGACTTTTCATCCTTGTTTTAACTTTTCTGACAACTTGGTTCACTTTATAGTTAGCAAGAAAGCAATTTTCCCCTTTGATGGCATGCTTCCTATTTTATCATGTAGCCACAGAGCTCAATAACTAGTCCTTTCACTCAGCAAACACTTACTGACTGCCTGGCCGGAGCCAGCCATTGTGGCTGGTACTAGGGATTCAAAGCCGAACGAGAGCACTGTGGATCACTGGAGAAAATAAATCTGCTAACAAGTTGTTACAGTCAACTCTGGCATAGTATCCAGTGCTAGTGTTTCTTGCAAGGCAAGAGAGCAACTGAGATTTACCCGTGAAGCCGTGACATTTGAGGATCCAACTTGCCAAGAAGAGAAGGGTTAAAAGGCAGGGTAGAATGACAGTTTGGCAAGTGCAAAATGCTATGAGGTATAAGTCAAGGCATTTCTGAAAGTATATATGGACCATGGGCATCAGAATCACTGTGCAAGAGCTAGTTTTTGACAGGCCTAGAGCTTGATCTTCAGTGGAAGCCAATGAAATCAAGATTTGCATTTAGAGAAGGCTCACTCTGTCAGGGTGGAGAACAGAAAAGGTGGGATTTCAGGGTCTTGTACAGATGATTTGTCCTTGAACTAGGTTAATACTGTGGGACTGGAGAGGCCTGGCTAGATTTGGGAGTCATTTAAGAGGTAAATTTGATTTACTTGATTACTAATTAGATGTCAGAGGAAGGTCTCAGCCAGTTCTGGGTTTTCCAGCTTTGGTGATCAAATACATATGGTCAGAAGGAGATAGAAGTATAAACAAGTTGAGTCCATGGGTAAAATGTTAAGTTGGAGATGCTTGGAAGCTACTTGGGAGAAGGGTCAGAGTTTGAATTTCAGGGATTACTAGTTTCCAGGAAATAGACCAAAACAAAAGCATTCAGTTGGGAACTGGATCATCTTTCTAATTTGAGTTACTTATCAGGCAGCAGTTTTGTGGATAACTATTTCCTTTGTCCGCTACAGCCTTCATAAACAGAATGGTAGCTTTCCTCATATTATAGAAAAATCATGTAGGGAACAATATATCTTCTTTTTTCAAACTTAAGACTTTGTTATATCCAGTAGAATGCCAATAAAATATAATTCATAACCCGCAAACTTGGGCCCTTGACATTCTCAAAGGCTTCATCCATGACCTCGGTGAGGCCCCAAATTCATGAATGTCACCATGGTGTATAATTTTCTCCATAAAATGCAAGGAAGTGAAACTAGAAAATGTAAGGAGTCCTTTCAGGCTCTTAATGGTTCTGTAAATATGGGCCCAAGGTAATTTCTAAGGGTATTTAAATAAATTTTGCCATTAAACTCCTTACTTCATTGCCTTATATCTTTACCTTATCAATTCCATCTTTTCCTGACTCTGCAAAGACAAAAAAAGTTAAACACAGTGTGATAATTGCTGTGTAGATGTCAATGAGAAGAGAAATGCCAGGTGGTGGGTATGCTCTATCCACTGTTTATGTGGCTGATAAGTGCTCTCTGGCCTCTAAGCAACCCATTCAGATTTGTGTCTCAGCAAATGACCTCGTAGCAGGGACCTTTCAGGGCACTCATTGGAGACCTATATCATTCCTAAATATCCAGCTGGCAAATACCAATGCATTGCTGCATATAGCTCAGATGAAGTCCTCAGAAGTACAAGAGCTTCTCCGTGTGGCTCTTCTTTTTTTCCCTTTCAGTTTTCTGGGCCTGGATGGAACCAGGGCCTTATGCTTGCCAGGAAAGAACTGTACCATGGAGCCATGCCCCTAACCCCTTTAATTTCTGTCTCATCATAGTGAGTCTTCCCTGCCTCTAGTAGCATCACATACTCTCCTCTGCCAGCACCTTCCGTGCTGTTCCACAGTTGTTTGCTCATGCTGATTTCCCCAGTGGGTTGTTCCCTCCTCAGGAGAATGTGCCAGCATGCCCTGGTGCCCCATCTTGTGCCTGGTCCCAAAGAACTGCTCAATAAACATTGGACTAACTAAAAGTATTCTCAGAAATCTAATAAAGCTTTATTCCCCATGCCTTCCCTATAAGCTCTGTAAGTTGTTTAATTACCTACAATAAGCATGCATTTTTATCCCTGCTCTTCTGTACAGTATCTCTTTCTCTTCTCACTCTTTTTTCTCAGTGTGTCTCCCTAATGGTAAGTGAAGCTTTTCGTCTTTGACCACTATGTGCAATTGGAAGAACTGTAAGTTCTAGGCACCAAGAATTGGAAAAACTCCAATGACAAGACCTTGACGACAATCATTCCTTATGAATAACTTCATTGGAGTTTATTCACGGGTTGCAGCACAAAGGCGCCTTTGTACTTTGAGTTTTGATGTTCTTGGGCATGACGGAACTCCTCAGTTCCCCAAGCCAGGGCCCTGCAGCAGGCTCTCCAGGGTACTGGCCCCAGCACATCTGTCACAATCTGCTCCCTCAGCTACGGGTGACCCTGCACTCTGTCCTTTCTGAAGAGGGCGATTTCTGACTTTATTTTTCCTATTGATTAACTCATTACTCAATTTGTCAAGTGTGCTTTTTAGAAATGCTGGGTTACAAGGGCCTATTTTCTTGTTAACCTTGGTGAGGAATTTCAGAAACTGTAGAACAGACTATGAAAGCTCGAGGAACTGCCTCTGAAACTTAAAAAGAGAGATGGATTTTGATCTAAGTTAGATGCCCTGAAGACAGGCAGGAGGTTAAGTGATCCTTCAAGCTCCAAGAGTGCAAAATGAAAGACACACTCATTTTTGGTTGGGAATTGCCCTGACCACCATGATTTCTTTTCCAGGCTAAGAAGCTCAGCATGGTATGGACCACGGCAATGGTATGGGCCATGGCAGTGGACTCTGGTGCTTTGCCAAAGTCACTTAGCCCAAGGTGTGAGTGCTGCTTCACATAGCCAGTATTTAGCCAGTCTTGCATTATATTAGGCTATGGAAACTACAAAACTGAATGCCCTGGTTCCTCAGCTGTCCTGTTAAAGGTCCTCTGTTTCCATCTCTGCTACTTTCAAGGTCTTTTACTCTGTCCTTATCAGGGTTTAGTGCTCTTTTCTTGCTTTAACTCTATGATCACAGAATCTTGATTCTCTTGATTCTCCTCTTAGTTTCTCTCTCTCCTCCTATTTTCCCTGTCTCCTAAGGGCCTCTGCTCCTATGCCTGAAGTTCCTCGGGGCATTTGCCCATGCTTTTGACTTTTGACTTTTGACTTACTATTCACGTGGATGTCTTCCAAGACTGCCCTGCCAGCCCAGCATCTCTCCTCAGCTGGAGGCCACCCCATCCATCCTCCCGCTAGGTGTCTGCGTTTGCATCCCCTTCATAGCATTGAGCTCATAGCATCCCCTTCATAGCATTGAGCTCACTCCCCTCTTCCTGCCAGCCAGTCTCCTACTGACACCCCTGTTTCTGACTGGAGTGTCTTCTCACGCTTGAAACTAAACCATCCCGGGCTCTACCTTGTTCTCTTTTGCCATTCTCATGTAGCACATCAAGTCAGAGAAAATGTTGGTCATGTTTCTTCCTGCTGTAGAAACCTTCGTTGCTCTCTTGTTAACCATCAAACCCGCCACAAATCTCTTAGGTTGGTATGTAGTGCTTCATGTCAGGACCCCAGCGAGCCCATCTTTCTAGCTTTCTTTCCCTCTTTTGTTCACCCAGTCTCAGCCCAAGCAGTGACCCAGCTTTTTCTTAGGAGTTGTCTTCCCTGTTTTGGTTAAACCTTTTCCTCTGACTGCACATTCAAATCCAACTCTGTCCCCTGTCAATTACAGTGACAGTGGAGTGTGTGTCATTTATTTCTCACATATGTCTGTGAGGTAACATCATTATTCTGTTTTACAGGTAAAGGTGCAGTGGAAAAGAATAAGAGACTTCCCCAAGGTCACAACTGGTAAGTGACCGGGCCACACATTCCAACTCTGTCCACACAGTGATGGCCCCTGGTTCTCACGAGAGCTTCTGTGAGCACAGCACTCATAAAGGATCTTTTCTGCCTCTCAGAACATACTGTGGCCCCTGAGTAACTGAAACATCGGAATGAGTGGAATAATGGGACTTTATGATAGGTTTGTAGAAAGACCGAAGAAGAGAGTCAAGGATAAATTCAAAATTTCTAGACCAATAGTTTAAAGAACAATATCATTGTTTAAAGTGAGTCACATGGGAAGAGGCCAGTTTGGTGAATTGGGCTATTGTGACCTTGATTTTAGGGTACTGAGGTATTAGTGAGGGTACTTTATGGGGCTGCCCCTGTTGGACGCACATCATTTGAGTTGTCATTTTAAAATCATAGCTTAATTTATTCTTTCCTCTTGTTTCTTCTTTCTTCCTTTTTTATCCCTTTCCTTCCTCTCCTTTACCTTCTTCCAGAAATATCATCGAGCCTTTTCTTGGTGCTTGGAGATGCTAAAGCATAGAAGATACTACATCCTGTTCTTGTTCACAAAATAGAATTTATTTGTATTATCATTATCTTGAGTTTATGTATCATATTTGATTTGCTTGCGTCCTAAGATCTATGCACAGTACCTGGCACTTTGTGCATGCTCAAATGATAATGAATAAAAGGTGGCATGATGAGCAGTGAAGGAAAGAGCTCAAGTTACAGGGCCTATTCAGATTACCTGCGGAGCCTGCTAACATGCAGATTCTGATTCAGTACAGTACATCTGCGGTGGGACTGAGAATTTGGTTTCTGATGTGGCCCCAAGACTAGCAGCATTGGTATTCCAGTTTGAGAAGCATGATGGAGGAGATATGGATTCAGCAAGCTGCAGGAAGCCTAGTATGGCTGCACATAGCACATTGGGGATCAGAGTTGGGAGAGACAAGCCTAAAAAGGGGTCTGGGTTCAGAGCCTGCAGACCCAGTGTCTAAAAAAGGTAGAGGAGATATAACGAAAAGCTAATGCTGTTGGGTCCTAATCTCAGTTTGGACAAGTTTTGGCTGTTTTCTCAATCTTCTTAGGCCTCATTTTCTTTGCTTATCAAATGAGAGTAAGGGGAACATCATAAGGTTTCTGCAAAAGTTAACTGATGTAAATCACTGGGTATAATGCCTTGCACTGGAATAGGTACTCTAAATGGTAGTAAGCATTGTTAGCATTACATGTGGTGGGCAATGTGAAGTGTGGGTAGGTGGTGGAAAACATAATCCCTGCCTACAGGAATTTCCAGAGTGCATGGGCCTCCCAGTGACACCCCTCCCTTTGCTGTTTCATTTTCATGACTGTGTTATGGCTTGTATTTAGATGTCCCCCCTCATGCACTCATAGGAGGGGCTTTTTGGAGCCAGCTGGATTTAGGGTGTATTAATATGGATTAAGGATATGTGATAACTAAATTAGACTACTGATTAGCTTAGTGTAGTTCTGGGTGTGGATAATGGGAAGGCCCACCCTGGGTGTGGGTGGCACCATCCAATAGGCTTGTAGCCTGGATGGGATGAAAGGGAAAGGGAGGCTCATTGCTTGGTGCTTCCTGTCTGCCTTGCCATGGACTGTTTCTCCTCTGCCATGCCACTCTGCTGTGCCACCCTTCCTTGGAGCCAGCTGAATATGTATTGGAACCCCTACAAACCGTGAACTAAAACAAACCCTTGCTCCTTTAAGGAGGAAAGTATCAGGTATTTTGTCCCAGCCACAAGAAAAAGCAGCCAAGACACACTGTGAGTTGGTTGCACAGTTTGCAGCCATGTGTAGGCAGACCCAGGTTTATCAACACCCTCAGCAGAAGGTAGTTACCTTCTCTAGATTTGCTTTGGCCTCATTCACATTTCTTCTAGACACCTTCCCTTTTCATTCTCTTCTTACCATACTGTTGGGTTTTCATCTAAATTCCAACTAATCTTGGGCAAGGTATGTTTCACCACAGTTCCTTCTCCTGGGTCAGATAGTAGGATTTAGCTTTCAGGTTTGTCTAGCTCAGTGTTGGAGCAGCATGTCAGTGCCCATATAATCCTGCAGGTGCCCTTGTTAGCAGGGCTGGCTCCTGTCTAGTCCTTTGCTATATGAAAGGCATAGCCAGCTGTTGGTCCTCTTTTCAGGGTCCATCAGTAGGTGTCTGGTCTCCACAATGGTCTTCCCTGGAGCAGAGGAAGAAAATAGTACCATGTCTATTTTTCCTTTATTTTAAATGTTTCTCCTAAAACTTCTATTTTTCTATGTTTTATTAATGAATATGTTAGTTTTGTGGTATCAGTCTATATCATTTATAAATAAACAAACGCACCTAAATGACAGTCACAGATCTAGAGAATTGCAGTTTTTTTCTAGCTGATTTTGTTGTCTTCATCCATTTTTTTTAAAGCTTACACTCAGAATTATCTTTCTGAAACACAATTCTTGTTCCCTGGCGTGTCTAAAACATTCATTCATTCATTTGTCAGTCAGTCATTCACTTGCTGAGCACCTGCCGTGTGTCAGGCATAGTGTTAAGGGCTGAGAGGCACTGATAGATAAAATACTGCTCTTATCCCCGTGGGAGCCAGGGAAATGGTCTGCTTGTGATCTTTGCTCCTTCTTGTGATGAAAAGGACCTCAAAATCTGGCCTCTTCCTCCCCTGCAGGCTCACTTCTAACCCTCCCCACTCACATTTAGCCATATTGATGGTCTCAGCATTCCCTCAACAGTCTTCACCTCATGTGCTTTTAATATTTCCATGCCATAAACATGTAAGCTCCCTGAGAGGAGGGGTTATAAATTCTGGTTCACTAATTTATCTGAAATGCTTAACAGTGCCTGGCATTTAATGAATAATGGATGCATGAATGTCCAACACATGGTTATTCCCCATTCCTAAGGTCCCTTCTCCATGGAGAGTGTTCACCCTTTAAGTGTCACCCCTTCCATGCAGGTTTAAAGCCTCCTTGCTCCCCTCCACCTAGTAGCACTCTCCCAGGCAGAGAGGAATCTTTTTCCTTTTCCTTGATGTATTGGTCAGCTTTCCCATTGCTCAGACAAAATACTCCAGACTGAAAACTTAAAGGAGAAGGTTTAACTTGGCTCAAGATTTCAGAGGTTCAGTCCAGTGCTGGCTGGCTCCAAGGCAGAAAAGGCATAGCAGAAGGGTGTGGCAGAGAAAAGCTGCTCACTTCATGGTGGCTGGAAAGCAGAGCAGTTTGGAAAGAGCAACTGTGAGAGATATATCCTACAAAGGCATGCCCCCTGTGACCCACCTCCAATTGAGTCCTGCCTCCTAATGGCACATTCAGCCATGAACATCAGTGGGTTAGTCCAATGATTAGTATAGTGCTCCCACCATCCAATCACCTCTAAGGAGTTGCAGTGCAGTCAAGCTGACAATTAAGCTTCACTGTTACACTTGCTGCTGTGTATATTTTTCTGTATTAGTGATTGTCAAGGTGTCTTGCAACCTTGTTTATGTGTCAGTGTCTCCCAGGAATGTGTATTCTGCTCCTAGTATGTATATATCACTACTGTATATTTTTCACTCTTGTATCCTAGTGTCTATGTCAGACTGTTTTATAATTGTTTCAGAAAAGAAAGGGGAATGGCAGAAGCTAAAGTCTCATCAAGGTCATTATTCTTACAGAGCTTGCTGGGCAGAGAGGCTGTAAAGTGTGAAGAAGTGGGTCAGGTCCTCCTGGTCCTCACTTCAATAACCCTCTTTTTCTTTTGTTGAATTGTGGCCCCCAAGAGATATATTGAAATCTTAGCTCCCAATTCTTATGAATGGATATGGTTTTGTTGCATATGTAATTAAGATGAGGTCCTGGAGTAGGGTGTATCCTTAATCCACTCTGACTGAACTCCCTATGAGAAGACAGTCATATGACGAGGCAGACACACACACACACACGCGCGCGTGCACACACACACACTTACACACACAGACAAAGAGACAGAGAACTGTGTGATGACAGAGACTGGACCGGAGAATGCCAAGAATTGATGGCCACTGCTAGGAAGGATTGATGGCTAGGAGCTAGGAAGAAACAGGGAGAGCTTCCACCCAGAGGCTCAGGGGGATCATGCCCCTGCCAGCACCTGGATTTTAAACTTGTATTCTCTAGAGCTGTGATTGACTAAATTGCTATTGTTTTTAGCCTCCCCAGTTGCGGTTCTCTATTACAGCAGACCTTGGAAAACTCTCCCTCCACTGAAACCACTGGCCACTCAATAGGCTAAGTATTGCCCCTGCTGGTACCATCGAATTTCTGCTTACTAAGGGCTATTAAAGAGACCTAGCCACACCCTCTGAGCCTCAGCCATGCCAGGTACCCTGATTGTGGGCTGAACCTGGCCTAAAATTTTGTTCCCAAGACCCAGTGCCCACTCTAATTTCTGGTCCTGGACAGAGTCTCCATCCTTTCCCTGGGGTTTCCAGCACTGAAAACTGGCCACTTTCTCATTCCCCTGAGCCTCCCAGTTGGTTTCTCTGCATGTCCCCTGCCCCTAAAGTACGTTTTTTTAAAGCACAACAACCAATAATTATCTTTTTTAAAAATTAATTTTATTGGGACATTTTAGGTGTACAATATAATGACATTCATCACTGGAAATTTGCACCTTTACATAGTCTCTCTTGTCTCTTATTTTTTCCCATTCGCCAATAATGATCTTTAAGAATAAGTTCATGTCACTTGTTCTGGAAAAGCATTTCAGTGGCTCCTCACTGCTCTAGGGAGCTCATTCTCAGTCTGGCCAGGGTCGTGACTGGGCCCTCAGGCACCATGTTCTATCTTTTCTGTTCCATCTATACAGCTTCCTTTTTTCACGTCATCTATTGTCTTAGTCACTTTTCTATTGCTGGGACAAAATGCCCAAGACCCACAACTTGAAGGATGGGAGGTTTATTGGCTCATCGTTTCAGAGACTTAAGTTCATGGCCACCTAGCTCCAAGGCAGGAATGGCACAGTGGAAGGGCCT